ATTCCCAGCATAAGACAGTGGACTTAAAACATTCTCAAACGTTTTGCCTGATACCAAGACCAAGTCGCGACGAGGTCAACCCACTTTTATAAATCGAAAGGAGACTGCGACCATATCAGAGGCCGCAACATCTTGGTCTTCATATATTCAACTTACGTATGGTTCAAACTCTTATCATGTGTCTTCTCGTTAGACTAAATTTTGTAATAAATGAATAGAGTTTTTTTAGAAGTGGGTTGACCTCGTTGCTGCAACTTGGTATTGTTGTCAGGGCGACTTAGTAGAAGGCACCTAGTTCGAAATCGTCTGCCATAGTAGTTGTCATGATTCCCAGCATCAGACAGTCGACTTGGTACATTCTCAAACGTTTCGCCTGACAACAAGACCATACCATAGACCACAACATCTTGGTCTTCATATCTTTAAAAAGATTTACATTTTCCTTTCATAGGCTTAAATTAGTCTCACCAGCAGCCTCAGCGATACACGAACCACAATGGTACTAATGAGGGTGCTGATGAGGCCTAAGCGATGTCAAAACTGCAGTCCACATTTGTATGGATGAGAATAGCATTTGGGAAAGTAAGACTATGTGAAATACGATGGAAATGTCCGCTATACTCATATGATTGTAGGAAAATTAAACCACCAACGCTTTATCACCTTAAACGAAATAGGGCGAATATATCTCATATATATATATATATATAAATACATATAAATATATATATATATATATAATATATAAATATATAAATAAATATATATATGATATACTGGTGGTCTTTGAAACCTGCTTATAAGACGAAGACTCAAATTTTATTAGTGCTGAATAGGTTTCGAATCTACCAGTAGATGGTGAATAAGAGCAGTATCCACCTTAGGCCACAGAATGTGATGAAAAAGGGATAGTTGAATTTTCCAACAATCCTATGTTCAGGCCTCATGGTTTCATAGAATTTCTTTCTTATTCCATTGCAGGAAACTCATCCATCCTTCCTTTGCCACTGTGTGTGACCTAGTGCGAACACAAATCTTAATAAAAAAAACATGATTTTTGCCAGTAAAGTCGACGTTATTGCCGTCAACTGAGTTGTTATCTTTTGAACCGATCAACAAACAATGCATTACAACTTGTCTTGTACACACCAACCCTCCGATGAAATAGGATTTTTGAGAAGCCCAGCTTGCCTTGAAAGTCGCATACACCCCGTTATCCTCTGTACCTTCAAGCTGTTTTGCAGTCGCGTAGTTTATGTCCATTTGCAGCATAGTATTAGGTTTGGGATCCTGTCCGATTTACTAATTCTGTGGCGTACTTTTGTTATTCTGAAAAAAATTAACTATTCTTGCAATAATTTAAACGGCCCCGGTTGACTCGAATCAAATACAACTTAGATTATTATTATTACTTTTCAAGTTTTCCACAATAAAATTAGTGGATAGGATAAAAATGTAATCAGGTTTAGATGAGAAATATTCGTTACAGTTTATACAAAGTAAAATAAAATGGTATTTTAAGGCCTTCGGCTCGTTGAAATGTAGAAGACGCTCCAGCGGTCGTGTGGTCGAGTGGTGATGTTGTCGTTTGATGCGCTCGACGCCAAGTTGAAGCCTGCTTTGAGGTCAAATCTGCAGTTTGACACGGACTGGACTTGGTAGCTTCACTTTTTAGTCCTTAAATCACCCAAAGCGATAGGCCAAATGTAACTTATCGTCGGCGGAGAAACAGACATGGCTCGGCGCCAGATCGTCCCGCTCGGACAACGATCTCCGTCCATAAGGAGGTTGGTAAAAAGGTCGTCTTCAGGGGACGTCAGGAAACAAGCATCTCCAATGCAGGAAAGTGATTTTGGTTACTTTTGAGGTATTCAGTCAAGGGGCAAAAGCACCCAAAATTCTCAATTATCTTTAACTTTAAAAGAAACTGCCTACGTTTGGTGCCTTGAAGGATGAAAATGATACTTGAAATACCATTTTGGGTCGGCTTCTTGGTCGTATGTGTGTATGTGTGTGCTTTAGTCTATATTAAAAGCACTCCAAGATGGATTGCTTTGAAGCTGATACGAAAAAGAGCAGGACAAAGCAAATGAAAACCTCGTTTAGCATTTATATTCTTCCTTTGCTGAAGGCAGATTTGGCAAACTTTGTTATTTCGTCATTATCTGTCCAACTAAATCCCCTCTTACGAACGGGCAATTAGGATTAAAGGCTCTTTCAGAGAGGATTTGCCCATCAAATGATGATGCGAAGCACTGGGACACATACACACGCAAACACACACACACACATACCTAGATACACACATGCACACAATGCAGTGGAGAATTGAGAAATTATCTTTTTCTACAGATTTAATAGCGGCATTTCACTCAACTCTTCTCACCTACCTACCAAATTTGAGGCCAGCATTTGTCCGGTTTTCAGACGATTCCATGAATCAACTGAGAGACCATTGGCATGAGCTTGAACTCGCTTCGGTGTGGTCTGCTCAACGATCCAAGCGAGTGGTAATGCTCACAAAGCGGTGTTATGAGACTTGCGATCTCTTCGGTGTTCCGTAGTGTGTACATTTTTGTCGGGAACAGCATTCCCGTCCAGTTGGCATGCTTACAGCGTAGCCATGGCAACAAAGATCCTCGGGCTCGGGTGGTGGCCGTGAGGAGGTGGGACTTTGCTTGCAAGTGAACAGCCCGCTTTGAAGACGCTTCTGGCCACAGATACAGTCGCTATGCTGTTTAGGCCAAGTAAATGCTACAGCTCCTGCCGACAGTTGACTGACTTTACATCGTCTCGTCACGCAATCCCGTCGTCTAGTCTTCCGGCAACACATCTCGTTTGCGCCCATTTGCCAATTTGGCTACCTGATTTCGTGAGCCTCTTCACAACGGCCCAGCAATACTCGTCGCATTCGGCTGCACAGACGTACAGGCAACCGAGCAGAGTTGGCAAAAGTGAAGTGTGACTTGCATTTCCTCCCAGTCTCCGTTGCCTGATGATGTGATAAAGCCTCAGATACAACCAAACTCGGCTACGGTGCAGGGAAATACGCCATCTTTTTAGGCCTAAGCCTGACCAAGTGTAGAATGGGAAAGAGAGCAAATGAAGACGATTAATGCCTCCGGGGCTAAAGGGCTTTCACAACTTGTAGAAAAAGTATTTTTCGGCGACAGCAGCATAATCTGGAGGGGACAAATAGCTGATGGACTTTCTGGCCCACTTGATTCTAGGTCTTCTAATGTCCTGTCACACAAACCAAATGTTCACTTTTAGGTGTGAATAGCTTTGGAAACTATCGACAATGCATCAATTATTAAAGAATTAAACCACATTACAGAAGTGGGTTCACCTCGTTGTCGCAACTTGGTCTTGTTGTCAGGGCGACTTAGTAGTAGTTGTTGTCATGATTCCCAGCATCAGACAGTGGATTTGGTACATTCTCAAACGTTTCGCCGGCATCTTAATCGGTATCATCAGTGAGCTTGACAACTATTCTTCCGAAAACGGTTACACTATCACTCCTCTTTCTGTCATTGTCTATCTATCTACTTTTTACCGTTTTATCCCTCCCAACTATTCAAAACTAGATTGCGCCTAAAGATTGAAGTAGGAAAGCGGATAAACATTCTCAGACAGTTGAAGAAGAGTTGAAATCAGACATGCCGTGAAGGAGATAAAAGTTGTCTGAAACTGCAAGAGTTCTGGGCATGGATACCAGCAAAAAGTGGCAACCCATGAAGTCCACTTCCAATCCGTCTCCAAGATCGCTGATGGTTGTGAAATGGTATTGATAAAGATTGGCATCAAAGGTGGTTGGCTCAAGTAATGTCGACACAATCAGGTGTTCTTCATTCAATTTCATACGAAATGGAAGTCCCTTAACAATGTTATCTCAGGAGATTTATCGAAACCCAGTTTCTCTTCGTATCTACAATCAGGTGTACATGCAACAACAGCACTGGCTGCGGGAGAAAACTAATTTTTTAAAAATCCCTATTTAACGGTGCATACGTTGAATGGGAACAAAATCCGTATTTTCAAGTGATATTTTTCCATTAAAATGTCTATGCTCGTGTATGTCCACAGATGCAATGTGGACATTACAACTAGTGCAGCTTGATCGTGTTGTCAAGGCTCGACTTGACCTTGTTGAACGCTCCTTGTCCGTACACATGGAAGACATGATAATTTGCAAACTCGGAATGTGAACTTTTTGTATTCCCGACGCTGAAAATTGTCATTACTGACTTGGCAGAAGACTCCGGACAAGATGCTTGTAACTAGGTCGACTTGACAACACGATGCAGTTGCAAAAAATGACGTCAAACCCCATCTATGCAAAGTAGTGCGATCGCAGCAATAATGTCTTCATACATTTGATCGAACAAGTTACCAAGTTTGCAAAACTTTTACGCAACTCGTACGTCAAGAGTTTACAATTTCGGCTAAGCATGAGGATGAGAATGGCCTTTAGGCTTTGTTTGGGAGAGCTTCATAGGCGCATCAGACCAGAAGACGATGGCAACCTTCTGATGTTCTGCATCCGATTGCATTTAAAGCCATGTTCATATTGAAGTAGTTCCTCGTTTAGGGTGAAAACAAGCTTAATTTTTCATCCAGAATCGGACAGACATAATCGGAGATGGAACTCTTTCTCAAAAAGTCTCAAGTTACAACTAGGAGTCAAAAAGACTGTCTGGCTATACATTATGTCTTGTAAATACTCATTTATAAAAGCAAAAATGTATAGACATAGATAGATAGGTAGATAGGTGGATAGATAGATAGATAGATAGATGGATGGATGGATATATAGATATAGATATAGATATAGATATAGATATAGATATAGATAGATAGATGGATGGATGGGTAGATAGATAAATTGATGGGTAGGTGGGAGGGTTCATAGATGGATAGATAGACAGATGGATTGATTGATTGATTGGTAGATAGATAGATAGATAGATATATAGGTGGGTGGGTGGATGGATAGATAGATGGATGGATAGATGGATAGATAGATAGATAGATAGATAGATAGATAGATAGATAGATAGATAGATAGAT